TCAGCACGTGGAACCCATTGGACCTACCAACCATTAAACCTATCAGGTTGCCCTTTTGCCCGACCGTGCTCAGCAAATCGAGCCTATTCAACACTTAAGTACCAACAGCTTCAGCTACCCAACCCGAGTTGGTTATTTGAGTGAGAAGAGAAAGAGATTGGTAACTACGTTTTTTTTTTTGACATTTATATTTATAGCTGACAATGTGTAGACTGGGGAGCTTACGTGCATGTGTGAGATAAGCAGCGGGCGAAAAAAAGAAGGGAGAAGGAGAGAGGTAGAAAGACCTTGGTACCGTTCGTGATCAAACTGTGGTGTGGGGGATGTAGGCACTCTCCACACAATGATGCAATCTCCCGGGGCCAAGGCCCACTAGCCCGGATCCTGCATTTTTGGTCGTTGATCTTGGTAATGTACAGTTAGAAATCAAGGGTTCGTGTAAGTTGGACTAGGCCCCTGGCAGAGAGTGCGTCATAATCTGGCGGTGAGGTACAAAGCCGTGACTCTTAATAAATAGATGATGAGTCAGACAAAATATATAGTACCGTTCCGGTCTATTACCCTTAAACCACCAGACATGTTATTCGTTAAAATAGGACATTATATTGTGTCCTCTTTCGAACGAATCAGTTTTGGCTACAGCCTAAGCAATGTAGGCATGCCCATCCACTCGGCCCATATGCGGAAGCGTGCTGAGATCCATACTTGTTTAAAATTGTGAGGACCAAGGCCCGTTGATTGTGTTCTTGTCCGAGAAGTTCGACAAGTGTGCTGAAATCCGTACTTCTTGAGGATTGTGATGAGCAAGGTGGCTTTATTGTATCCTTCTTGGACAAGCTCGCTTCCACTATCCCGAAGTAACGTAGGCATGTCCATCCTCTTGGCCGAAACATCTAATACTCATATGGATGTTTGGTGAGATTCCGTTTTCTTTACAATGCTTAGTATAGCGACTAGCATGCCCACGCAATTGGCCCGCATGCAGAAGTGTGTTGAGATCCATACTTCTTATACTAAAAAAATTTAATGAGCAAGGCGTTACAACCGGATCTATGTTGGATAACACTTTTATGAAGCGCCTTGATTGTCTCCTTGTTGGACAAACTTGCTTCGGTTATCTTTCAGTAACAAGGTATGTCTATCCTCTCGGTGAGTCGGTTATATGGATTCCGTGAGATTCGTGTTCTTTAGAAGGCTTAGTATAGCGACAAGCACGACCAGGCACTTGGCGAACATGCGGAAGTGTGCTGAGATCCATACTTGTTATACTTTAAAAGGCTAAGAATAGCGACAAGCACGCCCAGACACTTAGCCAACATGCGGAAGTGTGTTGAGATCCATACTTGTTATACTTAAGAAATTTGATGAGCGTGGTGTCCTAATCGAACTCATGGTGGATAATACATTTCCGAATGTCATCGCTATTGCACTTTATTCAAGTGATGCAATGTATGTTTGATAATATCTGGGCTTGTTTCGCTATGTGATGAAATGCATACAAAGAAGGGGGTTAATTATATTGGCAAGCAACATCTGAACTTGAGCAGGCCATTCACAGAAGTCCCAGACATGAACACGAAGTCATTTGTTAAATGCAGTACAAGCAATCACAAAGCAAGTGATGGTCGCGTAATGAACTGCACATTGACGCACTTATCGGGAGTTGTTATGCATGGGCACACCAATTTATTATACCGCACAAGAAATTCGGATATCATATGATTTCAATTGTAATGCACACTCTAGGTTCTTATATGTGAGATTCGGAGAAAAGAACGCAACAAGAATTTGTCCCACCGCACGAGAAAAGATGCAGATGACAAAGTCTACAAATGCCACCATACAGACAACGACCACCCTAAGATGAACTCGAAATTGAGCGAATAAAAGAGAACGAAGTTGCACTGAGAAAGGCAGTGGAGTAATGTCATGTCTAAGCAAAAACAATCACCAGTGAATGAAATATAGTCAAAAGATTGTACAGAAGTCATGAAAATCAATCAAAGACAATGGTGTTCCAAAAGACATGTTGCCAATTGTCGTCTAATTACAGGTATATCTTCAAAAGAAAACCCGAAAGGTGGTCGATCACCGCATTGCAACAGCGTTGCAAACGTCAACATGAACACCTCACAACTAGCTCCGTCAACTTGTCTCGTAACTCCTTCCACAACAACGTTCCCTGCCATAGACTCCCAACTCCTAGGCGACCGGCCATGTGAGGTATGACGTTYTRARTACTGTACAATCAACTTGAAAACACTAAGGTAGGAACGCGAATCTGCTATAACGCGAGGATAGGAGTCRAAAATCTCGAAGACATTGTCCCTCAAATTGATGGAAAGGAGGATCCAGTGATCATTGTCTTTATGCACCGGAACGAAGATCATATCGAAGTGAAGCCCATCTTTCCACCCCACCGTGTCCATGATGTTGCAACTTACTGAAGAAGAAAGAACTGAAGCTGAAGACTCGAAGGCCTGATGATGTTTGACGTATCATGCATGCAGTCGACCCCAAAAGCGCCATGTAGAAATTCACCACCTCATCGTTGAGCTTCCCATCGACAAGCAAGACGGTGAGCAGATCTTTAGCTGTGATTTTCACTTGACCATCACCAAAAGTAGATAGAACATGATGAGGTGGCACCAAACCTCAGGATATGTCACCCATAACCGTCAAGACTCGAGGCGCAATCGCGTTACCGAAAATCCCCCCGCAGGCTCCACGTGCTCTGGCGCGAACTGCACATCATCGACCAATGCACACACTGGGTTGTGAGAAATGGTGTTCTAAAGATTTTCCCTCATCACGCGATGCTCTGCTAAGTATTTTTCATAAATGACCTGACCCCTAGTTACAGATCGCGGATACGTCCCCTTCTCCGGAGGCAGAAGGGAAATACATTCATCAATGGCCACGACATGGTCTTTCTCCCAGTCTCGACATCAACCCCTGATGCCTTTAACATATTCTTGTGTCTTGTCTTGAACCCGGGGACTTTCTGCAACATTCGTGCTGGGTATTTCGAGAAAATGGAGGACCTCCATTTTCGAGTCGACCCTACCCCTGTAAAACAAAAGAAAGACAGAACCCGAAATAAATATACAATTCGATGAAAGTTGAAAAGTACAATATTGACATAGCCATGCAGATGATGGTCTCTCCAACCAGTGGAGTGTCATCACGTGGTCCAGTTCAGCGAGGAGCATGTTAGCCTTTGGACACGAAGACGAGGAGCGCAGTCGAGCCTGAGACCCCTGCACAACGCGAAGCAAGAAAACATCAGGCCAAACAGGCACAAAAGCGATGAAGTCCGGATTCCGGCGGACTAGAAGCCACAGCGCGCAGAGACCGACCGGACACATTCGGCCCCGACATTGGAAGTGAGGACACCGGCGCATTAAAAAGATCGGACCCTTGGAAGGTCTGTTTTTTGTACACCGCCGGTGTCGTCACGACCAGTGTCGGCGGGAGACGGAAAGCCGACACTTGTGCATGTGCGGATGCCCGCGGAGTATCAGAGAGTAAGCACATCACGCACCCACAATAGAAGCGCGGAAACCGGCAGACTTAAACAACCAGCAGATAGAAGGGTTGTTTTATCTTCTCAGCAGGGTTTGTTAAGTCCGCCGGTATCCGCACTTGTATTGCGGAAGGGTGACGACGTCGGTCTCTGTGTGCCGGTCGCGGATGAAAGTCCGTCGGAATCGATCCTTAACCATGTGCCAGCTCTCCTCATGTCGTTGATAATAGTGGTGCGGATATCGGCGGACTACAACGACCTGTCCTGCCCACGAAAGAACAGCACACTCCAGACAACGCGGACAAGGCAGGTGCGTCGTACCGAAAGGACCGAATGTTGTAGTCCGCCGATATCCGCACTTGCTGTGTCGAGGCCAACACCGGTCTATCTGTATGTGCCCCTCAGGGCTCGAATTTTGGCGCAGCGAGAACTGCGCCAGTGTTGATAATCCTCTTCTGTGGCCGCACAGACCTCCGTCTTCGCTACCGTCCATGGGAAGGCGGAACTTGTCCTCGCGTCAACGACAGGATGGCTGACTGACATCGTTGGCACTCTAGAGACGTAAACGTGCAGACGTGGTGAAGATCATTAACGCTTACCAGCTGGTTTCTCCCTCCGTTCCTTCATCGGCGACCGGGGCGCGGATAAGGCAAGCACCGCGAGAGGCTGAGTGGCCACCCTGCTTTTTTTCGGGGACGTCAGATGCTGGCAGCCGGCAACCCTGCCACCCGCTGCGCCAGGGAAGGTGTCTGCTAGTGTCGGACAGCAGGGCGACGGGGCCTCCAAGTCGGCGCCCAAGGAATGATCGGTGTCAACGTGCCCGACGGTTTTTGTAGGCGGGGACGGAGTTGATATGGCCTGTTGTTTGCGGAGTTTGCAATCAGTGACGTCGTTGACGTCCATTCGACGATTCGTTTTCGTCTAGCCCACTGCCATGGCGACCTCGTCGCACACGTCCCGGAGATGCAATGCCGGTGCCAGCGGGTGCACGTCACAGGCATCCGGGTCTGCGAAATGGCCAATGGCCACCTGAGTCTCCATTTCCATCGTCATCGCTTCGTCGTCGACATCACCTCCAAGTGTCCGAATGAATCAGACGACTCACCGCAACCAGCATCTTCTCCACCCTCCGGCCGTTCGTCCTCCCCTTCCGCTCCTTCCCCACCTTCTTCCCATTCATTTTCTTCTTGGCCGTCCTCCACTTGTACCCATTCCTCCCCCCCATCCCTCTCGCGCATATTAGCTCCTCCCACCGGCCCCGCGTTGACTCCCGTCAACAAGTCTTTTGTCCCTGCACACGTCTCATCTCCCGCCCGCCCGACGACCTCTGACTGCCGGCCTGTTCCCCAGCAAGTTCGGATACCGGCGGAGTTCAAATTGCAGAGGAAAGACGGCGCCCCGCTATCCAACCGTGCATTGAACTCAGCAGGCTGCCCGTCTTCGACGGCCGACGCAGTCTCCTGCTGCGTAGAAAAGTCGTCGGACGTTGCACCGGATGAAACCGAAGTGCGGATTCTGGCGGACTTCGTTTTGGCACCCGTTTCCGACATTTCTGCTCCTGTAGCGCTGCGCAGGACGGGCTCCCCATCGTGCTCCTCATGAGGCTTTGTCCGGATAGCGGCGGATTTGTACTTGACGCCGGTGATCGGAACACCCACACTCGAGCCTCTCCCGATGCCAACGAAAGCGGCAAAATCAGTCGTCGAGGGGAGGGCCGACCAATGTGTGGTGGATGCAGTGCGGCCGCCGACGGACTTCGCAGCGTCCAAAGGCGGCGGCTCCATGTTCTGAGAAGTTCGGATGTCGGCGAACTTAGCCGATTTGCTGGCCCCGACGGTCGTCTTGTCTGCAACGTTCAACAACCCAAGCCGGATGCCGCTTTCCAATGTTCTGCCTTGGTTGTGAGTGCCAACCAATCCCCCTGACTCGGCGCCCTCTCCTGTCCCCTTGCCGCGTCCCCCACCCCCTCCCCCGCGCGGAGGGCCTGGAGGTCCCCCTCCCGCACTACCCTGCGACCCCGTCGCAGGGGGGACCTTCCAGTCCACGCTTCCCTTCAAAGGGCTCGTATCGAAGTCGTAAAACTCGTCCGAGAGTTCCAACCACCCCTTGTCTTGAAGCTCCAGAAACAAACGTTCAGCGTGTTGAACGACGGCTGGGTCGGTGGCCTGGAAACGGGGGTTCTCTAAAGCCACTTTATACGCCACACCACTGCTTGCGAGTTGCAAGTACTGGGACTTGGGAAGGCGCGATCATGGCTCCCACTGCCCGGCCGAGTCCACGACGGCCATTATCCACTCCCCTTCGCGGATTGCAGGCTGGATCGATCCCGGGTGCCAAATCATGTCGTGACCCCAGTCTGCTTCAGTGGAACGAGTGTGGTCGTGCCCTTCAAAGTGAATGGACTCATCCTTCCAAGAAGGATGTTCCGGCGGGACTGCACTCCCTGGACGCAAGCGAGGCGGGGCAACAGTACAGGGTGTGAGTTCCGCCAACAGCTTGCTGGGGGTCTTGCCGGGGGTGGACCTGTGATTGGGCGTCGCTGGAGTGGCCTGGCTTGACGATGCACCTGCCGTCGAGGAGCCCGGGGGTGGAAGAACAGGAGTAGGGAGGTAATTCAGGGGGATTTCCTCGTTGCCGCTATCCTCCTTCGGAACATTCGTGTCGAAAACGACTCCGGTCGTTGCCTCTTCGTCCGTGGCAATCAATGCATTGTAACTCGCGACCCTGAGTTCTTGCTCCGACTCGACAAAGTTCAAACACTCCAGCCGGTCCAGGAAGTTCTTCGCATTCAAACGCGAGGCGCCATGGTAGTTGTCCAGCAACGCCAACATGTGCTCCCTGCATCGAATATACTCAGGGTCGCTGTCCCTCCTGGGCCACGTCTCTTGGAAGAGGACCTCGTATACCATGTCCCTTTTCCTCTCGCTTAGCTTGAACCACATGTCCGTGGACGGCTCCCAAGCGTGTCACGGTTTGTCCGTCCTCGAAATAAACTCGCAGTGGTGGGCTCCCGAGTTGACCGCGCCTTTCAGGAAATCCAACGTGTATTGTAGCAACTCCGAATTCCCCTCCAACGAGATGACGTTGCGACCGCCCTTCAAAGCCTCCCACACGACTTCTGCGTGCGCCTTCCCGAGAAACATGACACCCTCCCCCTTTTTGCACACGAATTCCAGCGGATGGGCCAACTGCGCGGGGTTCCATTCCATGTCCTTAAAAACTTTGGGGTCACGGCCAGGTATGACCAGGGGCCATTCACAAGGCCCAAACGACATCTCCGAGATGTGCGTCGGTGTGACTTTGACATGTGCCCCCAGAGCAGCAGCATCACCCGCCTCGAACCTCGCGTCGTAAACCACAGACGTGTTCTCCTGCAAGTCGTCACCTTTGAAGAGGATGTACATGCGGTCGTCCACTTAGTACAAGTTGTTGCCGACCGCGAAGCTTTTCTTCTGCTGCGGCCTCCTCACCCACTTTCCTGCCATTGCCTTGACAACGAACAGATGGCGCAGACTGGTCATGAAGTACTAGTCGTGCTCCCGGGGGACGAAAGCAACGACCGTCCAGTGCGAAGGGAACAAATGTTGTAGAAGGGCATTTAAACTCTCGAAAGCTTGCTGTGTCCACTGTGTGATATCCACAGGCTCGCACAAATCAAGAATGGCAGTGTGGCATTTCGTGATCCCAACCGCTTTCTCCAACTCGACGACCTTCATCTGCGCCTCCAGAGGATCGACGCCGAAGGGCACGATGGATGTCACATCCCCTGAGTCCTGCCCCTGAATATGCACCATGCCTTCGACGAGCGCATGCTCTTCGACCTGGTGCCGGTCAGCACGGAAAGGACCTTGTTCTTCCAGTCGTTGGACAACTTCTTGTTGAGAACCAGTTTTTTCGCCGCCTTGATCAACTTGTCGTCTTCGCAGCCCATGAACGGGGGACAGTCTCTGAACAACGATGAGTCTCCAACGAGTTTCCTGCTTCCGTCCCACAATGCTGCATCCAGTCCCTCGCTTTTGAACTGCGAAAAAAACTTCTCTCTTTTTCGCAGGAAGGGATAGGAACGCGTCCAATCGGAGTCGGGCCGATTCTCATACTTGAACTGGTAGTAGTTCCATAACCGCACCAAGATGTGGTCGCACTTCACCAGATGCACTGCCTCTTGCATCCCCAACTTCCCTTGCTTTGCCAACGCAGAGGAGTTGGTCTGCACCCACACCACCTCGCAGTTGAGAACCTTCTTCAACAGCCGACATTTCTCATTGTCCGTGAGGGCTTCCATGCTTTTCCAGCAGTGCGGATCCGGCTCGTTGACTTGGACRAACCAATCSCCGGATTCCTTTTCTTTTTTTCCTTTCTTTTRAGGCGCATCGACGGGGATGTTGTAGACGACCTCCTTTCGCCCGGTCTTTTCATTTTCGATGTGGCTCACACCGGCCTTCACGCCCTTCACCTTTTTCTTCTTCGCGATCCACCTCGCCCCTTCGGGTGCCAGCAGTCTGCCTGTCTCCCATTTCTCGAAAAATTCCATTCCCATTTTCCACGCGCTCTCACTGGCCATCGCAACCTGGAAATAAGATCGAAGGGCAGCAATATGCTTCCTTATGCCTTGCTCGGTCTTGTCGTCAGCGAGTGTACACAAATGATTGTACGGCGTCTTTTGAAGAGCATCTTCACAAAACTGGCACCAARAMTCCACCTGAGCCTGTTTCCCGCTCGGGTTCCCCATAACAGCTCTGGGGTAACCCTTTTCCTTCCAGCACCACCGGATGTCCTTCATCGAAAGTTTCTGCTGTCTGGGAGGCGCCTTCAGGTCCTTCTTGTTATCCTCGGCGCTGACCAAAAAATACCCTTCGAAGTCCGCGTCGGAGAAGTACATCATTCGCGCAGGCCACCTCTCGAAGTTGTACCTCACCGCCACGTCTGTGCCAAGCAGCGTCCTGGTGGCGGCCGCGTTATGCTGGACGGCAGCAGCGTAGTAGTAGTATTGGTCCGCCAGCTCGTCCTTCCAGTCCTCGGGCTTCATTTGCTGTGCACGCACCCCCGACTTCGGTTTCTCTAGCCCCAACGGCGCCAGCTTCAGTGTGGGCAGCTCGTAAGTCTTCGAGGCCTACGAGTAGGCCGTTGTCATCGCGTCGATGATCAGCTGTGTATGCACCGGATCCACGGACTAGCCAAGACGCAGCATACAAAAACAAAATTCGTGGCGTGTAGTAAACACAACAGTCTCCAAGCGGAGGAGCGTTGCCGTGGAGCGGAGGGTGAAGACGTCCTCTGGACGTCATCGCCTGCACAGCGCCAGGAAATGTTCTAAACAGAGAACAACTCTCCGCATGCCCTTGTTGACAGCACGTAAGGGGCAGAATAGCGACAGTGTTCGAATGGAGAACCCCTGTGCGAAGTCCGGACACCGGCGAACTTTTGTCGACTAATAAGTGTGCTGCACGACAGGATGCCCTGACACGAGGAAGGGTCCGTTCGGGGAGTTCCCGCCGGCACATTGTTGGGCGCCATATTTCTTAACACAAGATGAGGGGGGACCGGCAACGTCAAAGAATGATCTGGCTAAGACATTGACGAAGTGCGGATACAGGCGGACTTCGGTATATGCTTAGGATGTGTGGACGCATAGAAGGGGCAGGGAAGACGTGGTCGGTGGCACGGTCTTGCCACACATACAATAAAGGCCTATATCGAAAGTGTGTGTCCCCACATGACATATAGGCCTATATCCAAAGGATACGGTGTGGCCTCAGTCACTTCGCAGTCCGTGAGCGAGTATTGGCCTTGAGGCCAATCACTACCCCACCATGCGGACTCGACACCTCTTCACCGCCTGCCTTTCATTTGCGCCCCTTCCTGCCGCCAGCCGTGGTCCTGCTCGATTCCTGGCTCATGGCGAGGCTCAAGACACTCTGCAAAGCATTTGCAGCAGCGGGAACAGGCCCGGACGCAGGTTGCGGCTCAGCCTCTGGTCTAGCTTCAGGAACAACGTTGGGCTCAGACATGGAAGCAGGCACGGGTCTACCCTCACCGGGAAGAGACACAACGAAAGCGGGCTCAACAAGAAGGGCGACAATGTAGCTGCTTCCAAAGGGGCGGCCTTGTCGTGGGATCTGTTCCAGGGCTTCGGTGCAGGGGCCTTGAGGACCGCTTTCTACACAAAACTCGCGGCTGAAGGTCTTGTTTCCGCTAGGGAGTTCTTCAACTTGGTGGAAAAGATCTCATGCGACCTAGCGATGTCGCAGCCTGTGCAGATGTGCATCGGGTTCGAGTCAAGCGGTGCTCCGTCCGAGGGAGGAGATTTGGGTTTCGGTGCTTCATTCCAACTCCACCGTGGGGAGGAACGTGGTCGCTTCGACAACAGCGAGGGGGAAGAAGAGGAGAGGACGTCGGGTTCGCCGGTTAGAGGGGGAGACCGTAGGGTGCTGAGCAATCCGGGTGTTGAGATGAGAACACCGGTCCAAGAGCGGCCCTCGATGTCAGCCGGGGGTCACACAATGGGGTTGGGGGGGAGGTCTGCTTGCATCCTGTCCGCTGGAGAAGAGGGTGAACAACAGTCATCACAAGAGAGAAGGGGAGATTCCCGTGGAGACACGGCGGCTGCATCAAAAAAACAGAAGACAAAGGCCCCGCAGACGTCAGGGGGAAAAAGGAAGGGAGGGGAGGGGCATGTGGGCGCTGCGAGTCGCAAACACCCATCCTCGACGCAGATTCAGCCCGTGTCCGTCCCTGTGTAGCAGACGGGTCCGATCGACGTCGATGTGACGTATTTCCTCGAATGGAAAGACGGCGTGCGCACAAAGCGCGAGATACCTGTTAACCTGTCGCAAGTCGTCGACATCGGGGAGTGGGAAGCGGGGTACAACCAGCGTTCCTTGGATCCGGTGCATACACAGCTGATCATCGACGCGATGACGACGGCCTACTCGCAGGCCTCGAAGACTTACGAGCTGCCCACACTGAAGCTGGCGCCGTTGGGGCTAGAGAAACCGAAGTCGAGGGTGCATGCACAGCGTATGAAGCCCGAGGACTGGAAGGACGAGCTGGCGGACCAGTACTACTACTACGCTGCTGTCGGCCAGCATAACGCGGCCGCCACCAGGACGCTGCTTGGCACATACGTGGCGGTGAGGTACAACTTCGAGAGGTGGCGTGCGCGAATGGTGTACTTCTCCGACGCAAACTTCGAAGGGTATTTTTTAGTCAGCGCCGAGGATAACAAGAAGGACCTGAAGGCGCCTCCCAGACAGCAAAAACTTTCGATGAAGGACATCCGGTGGTGCTGGAAGGAAAAGGGTTACCCCAGAGCTGTTATGGGGAACCCGAGCGGGAAACAGGCTCAGGTGGAKTYTTGGTGCCAGTTTTGTGAAGATGCTCTTCAAAAGACGCCGTACAATCATTTGTGTACACTCGCTGACGACAAGACCGAGCAAGGCATAAGGAAGCATATTGCTGCCCTTCGATCTTATTTCCAGGTTGCGATGGCCGGTGAGAGCGCGTGGAAAATGGGAATGGAATTTTTCGAGAAATGGGAGACAGGCAGACTGCTGGCACCCGAAGGGGCGAGGTGGATCGCGAAGAAGAAAAAGGTGAAGGGCGTGAAGGCCGGTGTGAGCCACATCGAAAATGAAAAGACCGGGCGAAAGGAGGTCGTCTACAACATCCCCGTCGATGCGCCTYAAAAGAAAGGAAAAAAAGAAAAGGAATCCGGSGATTGGTTYGTCCAAGTCAACGAGCCGGATCCGCACTGCTGGAAAAGCATGGAAGCCCTCACGGACAATGAGAAATGTCGGCTGTTGAAGAAGGTTCTCAACTGCGAGGTGGTGTGGGTGCAGACCAACTCCTCTGCGTTGGCAAAGCAAGGGAAGCTAGGGATGCAAGAGGCAGTGCATCTGGTGAAGTGCGACCACATCTTAGTGCGGTTATGGAACTACTACCAGTTCAAGTATGAGAATCGGCCCGACTCCGATTGGACGCGTTCCTATCCCTTCCTGCGAAAAAGAGAGGCGATTTTTGCGCAGTTCAAAAGTCAGGGACTGGATGCAGCATTGTGGGACGGAAGCAGGAAACTCGTTGGAGACTCATCGTTGATCAGAGACTGTCCCCCGTTCATGGGCTGCAAAGACAAGTTGATCAAGGCGACGAAAAAACTGGTTCTCAACAAGAAGTTGTCCAACGACTGGAAGAACAAGGTCCTTTCCGTGCTGACCGGCACCAGGTCGAAGAGCATGCGCTCGCCGAAGGCATGGTGCATATTCAGGGGCAGGACTCAGGGGATGTGACATCCATCGTGCCCTTCGGCATCGATCCTCTGGAGGCGCAGATGAAGGTCGTCGAGTTGGAGAAAGCGGTTGGGATCACGAAATGCCACACTGTCGTTCTTGATTTGTGCGAGCCTGTGGATATCACACAGTGGACACAGCAAGCTTTCGAGAGTTTAAATGCCCTTCTACAACATTTGTTCCCTTCGCACTGGACGGTCGTTGCTTTCGTCCCCCGGGAGCACGACTAGTACTTCATGACCAGTCTGCGCCATCTGTCCGTTGTCAAGGCAATGGCAGGAAAGTGGGTGAGGAGGCCGCAACAGTAGAAAAGCTTCGCGGTCGGCAACAACTTGTACTCAGTGGACGACCGCATGTACATCCTCTTCAAAGGTGACGACTTGTAGGAGAACACGCTGTGGTTTACGACGCGAGGTTGGAGACGGGTGATGCTGCTGCTCTGGGGGCACATGTCAAAGTCACACCGACGCACGTCTCGGAGATGTCATTTGGGCCTTGTGAATGGCCCCTGGTCATACCTGGCCGTGACCGCAAAGTTTACAAGGACATGGAACGGAACCCCGCGCAGTTGGCCCATCTGCTGGAATTCGTGTGCAAAAAGGGGGAGGGTGTCATGTTTCTCGGGAAGGCGCACGCAGAAGTCGTGTGGGAGGCTTTGAAGGGCGGTCGCAACGTCATCTCGTTGGAGGGGAATCCGGAGTTGCTATGATACACATATTTCTTGAAAGGCGCGGTCAACTCGGGAGCCCACCACTGCGAGTTTATTTCGAGGACGGACAAACCGCGACACGCTTGGGAGCCGTCCACGGACATGTGGTTCATGCTAAGTTAGAGGAAAAGGGACAGGGTATACGAGGTCCTCTTCCTGGAGACGCGGCCCAGGAGGGACAGCGACCCTGAGTATATTCGATGCAGGGAGCACATGTTGGCGTTGCTGGACAACTACCATGGCGCCTCGCATTTGAATGCGAAGAACTTCGTGGACCGGCTGGAATGTTTGTACTTTGTCGAGTCGGAGCAAGAACTCAGGGTCGCGAGTTACAATGCATTGATTGACACGGACGAAGAGACAACGACCGGAGTCGTTTTCGACACGAATGTTCCGAAGGAGGATAGCGGCAACGAGGAAATCCCCCTGAATTACCTCCCTGCTCTTGTTCTTCCACCCGCGGGCTCCTCGACGGCAGGTGCATCGTCAAGCCGGGCCACTCCAGCGACGCCCGTTCGCAGGTCCACCCCCAGCAAGACCCCCAGCAAGCTGTTGGCGGAACTCAAACCCCGTACTATTGCCCCGCCTCGCTTGCGTCCAGGGAGTGCAGTCCCGCGGGAACATCCTTCTTGGAAGGATGAGTCCATTCACTTTGAAGGGCACGACCACACTCGTTCCACTGAAGCAGACTGGGGTCACGACATGATTTGGCACCCGGGATCGATCCAGCCTGCAATCCGCGAAGGGGAGTGGATCATGGTCGTCGTGGACTCGGATGGGCAGTGGGAGCCATGCTCGCGGCTTCCCAAGTCTGAGTAATTGCAACTTGCAAGGAGTGGTGTGGTGGATAAAGTGGCGTCACAGAACCCCCTTTTCCAGGCCACCGACCCGGCCGTCGTTAAACGCGCTGATCGTTTGTTTCTGGAGCTTTAAGACAAGGGGTGGTTGGAACTCTCGGATGAGTTTTACGACCTCGATACGAGCCCTTTGAAGGGAAGCGTGGACTGGAAGGTCCCCCCTGCGACCCCGAGTGTGGGAGGGGGACGTCCAGGCCCTCCGGGCGGTGGAGGGGGTGGGGGAAGCGGCAAAGGGACAGGAGAGGGCGCCGCGTCAGCGGGATCGGTTGGCACTCACGACCAGGGAATAATAGTGGAAAGCGGCAGCCGGGTCGGGTTGTTGAACCTTGCTGACAAGACGACTGTCGGGGCCAGCAAATCGGCTAAGTTCGCCGACATCCGAACTTCTCAGAACGTGGAGCCGCCGCCTTTGGACGCTGCGAAGTCTGTCGGCGTCCGCGCTGCATCCACTACACATTGGTCGGCCCTCCCCTTGACGACTGAATTCGCCACTTCCGTTGGCACCGAGAGAGGCTCGAGTGCCGGTGTTCCGATCACCGGCGTCAAGTACAAGTCCGCCACCATCCGGACGAAGCCTCCTGAGGTACACGATGGGGAGCCCGTCCTGACCAGCGCCACGGGAGCTGAAGTGTCGGAAATGGGTGCCAAAACGAAGTCCGCCGGAATCCACACTTCGGTTTCGTCCGGTGCGACGTCCGACGACTTTCCTACGCGGCAGGGGACTGCATCGGCCGTCGGAGACGGGCAGCCTGCAGAGTTCAATGCACGGTTGGATAGCGGGGCGCCATCTGTGCTCTGCAATTTGAACTCCGCCGGTATCCGAACTTGCTGGGGAACGGACCTGCAGTCACGAGGCGTCGGGCGAGCGGAAGATGAGACGTGTGCGGGGGCAGAGGACTTGTCGACGGGAGTCGACGCGGGGCCGGTGGGAGGAGCTGATATGCGCGAGAGGGATGGGGGGGAGGAATGGGTACAAGTGGAGGACGGCCAAGAAGAACTTGAATGGAAAGAAGGTGGGGAAGGAGTGGAAGGGGAGGACGAACGGTCGGAGGGTGGAGAAGATGCTGGCTGCGGTGAATTATCTGACTCGTTCGGACACTTGTACACGATGCAACGCGGAGGTGACGTCGACGACGAATCAACGACGATGGAAATGGAGACTCAGGTGGGCATTGGCCTTTCCGCGGACCCGGATGCCTGTGACATGCACCCGCTAGCGGCGGCAGTGCATCTCCGGGACGTGTGCGACAAGGTCGCCATGGCAGTTGGCCGGACAAAAACGACTCATCGAATGGACGTCAACGACGTCACTGATTGCAAACTCCGCGAACAACAGGCCATATCAACTCCGTCCCCGCCTACAAAAACCGTCGGGCACGTTGACACCGATCATTCCTTGGGCGCCGACTTGGAGGCCCCGTCGCCCTGCTGTCCGACACTAGCAGACACCTTCCCTGGCGCAGCGGGTGGCAGGGTTGCCGGCTGCCAGCATCTGACGTCCCCGAAAAAAAGCAGGGTGGCCACTCAGCCTCCCGCGGTGCTTGCCTTATCCGCGCCCCGGTCGCCGATGAAGGAACGGAGGGAGAAACCAGCTGGTAAGGGTTAATGATCTTCACCACGTCTGCACGTTTACGTCTCTAAAGTGCCAACGATGTCAGTTGGCCATCCTGTCGTTGACGAGAGGACAAGTTCCGCCTTCCCATGGACGGTAGCGAAGACGGAGGTCTGTGCGGCCACAGAAGAGGATTGTCGACACTGGCGCAGTTCTCCCTGCGCCAAAATTCGAGCCCCGAGGGGCACACAGAGATCAACCGGTGTTGGCCTCGACAGAGCAAGTGTGGATATCGTCGGACTACAACATTGGGTCCTTTCGGTATGACACACCTGCCTTGTCCGCGTCGTCTGGAGTGTGCTATTCTTCCGTCGGCAGGACAGGTCGTTGTGGTCCGCCGGTATCCGCACTTCCGTTGTCGACAACATGAGGAGAGCTGGCACATGGTTAAGTAAGGATTCCGGCGGACTTTCATCCGCGACGGCACACAGAGACTGACGTCGTCACCCTTCCGCAATACAAGTGTAGATACCGGCGGACGAAACAACCCCTTCCGAGAAGATAAAACAACCCTTCTATCTGCTGGTTGTTTAAGTCCGCCGGTGTCCGCGCTTCTATTGTGGGTGCGTGATGTACTTACTCTCTGATACTCCGCCAACATCCGCACATGCGCAAGTGTCGGCTTTCCGTCTCCCGCCGACACTGGTCGTGACTACGCCGGCAGTGTACAAAACACAGACCTTCCGGTGGTTCGATCTTTTTAATGCGCCAGTGTCCTCGCTTCCAGTGTCAGGGCCGGACCTGTTGGTCGGTGTCTGCGCATTGTGGCTTTTAGTCCGCCGGAATCCGGACTTCGTCGTTTGCCGGCTCCCATATTGTTTGTTCTGATGTTTTCTTGCTTCGCGTTGTGCAGGGGTCTCAGGCTCGACTGCGCTCCTCGTCTTCGTGTCCAAAGGCTCACATGGTCCTCGCTGGACTCGACCATGTAATGGCAAACTCCACTGGTTGGAGAGGCCATCGTCTGCATGGCTATATCAATATTTTACTTTTCAACTTTCATCGAATCGTATATTTATTTCGGGTTCTGTCTTTCTTTTGTTTTACAGGGGTAGGGCCGACTCGGAAACGAAGGTCGTCCATTTTCTCGAAATATCCATCACGAATACTGCAGAAAGTCCCCGGGTTCACGACAAGGCACAAGAATATGTTAAATGCATCAGGGGTTGATGTCGAGACTAGGGAGAAGGACCATGCCGTGGCCATTGATGAATGTCTTTCCCTTCTGCCTCCGGAGAAGGGGACGTATCCGCGATCTGTGACTAGGGGTCAGGCCATGTACGAAAAATACTTAGTTGAGCATCGCGCGATGAGGGACGATCTTTAGAACACTATTACTCATAACCCGGCGTGTGCATTGGTCGATGCTGTGCAGTTGGCGCCAGAGCACGTGGAGCCTGCAGGGGGATTTTCGATAACGCGATTGCGCCTCGAGTCTTGACGGTTATGGGTGACATATCCCGAGGTTTGGTGCCACCTCATCATGTTCTATCTACTTTCGGTGATGGTCAAGTGAGAATCACTGCTAAAGATCTGCTCACCGTCTTGCTTGTCGATGGGAAGCTCAACGATGAGGTGGTGAATTTCTACATGGCGCTTTTGGGGTCGACTACAAATGACACGTCAAACATCATCAGACCTTCGAGTCTTAAGCTTCAGTTCTTTCTTCTTCAGTAAGCTGCAACTTCATGGACACGGTGGGGTGGAAAGGTGGGCTAAGAATGTAGATCTGCTTTGCTTCGATATGATCTTCGTTCCGGTGCACAAAGACAATGATCACTGAATCCTCCTTTCCATCAATTTGAGGGACAATGTCTTCGAGATTTTCGACTCCTCTCCTCGCGTTATAGCACATTCGCGTTTCTACCTTTGTGTTTTCGAGTTGATTGTACAGTATTCAAAACGTCATACCTCACATGGCCGGTCGCCTGGGAGTTGAGAGTCTATGGCGGGGAACGTTGTTGTGGAGGAGTTCCGAGACAAGTTGACGGAGCTATTTGCGGGGTGTTCATGTTGACGTTTGCAACGTTGTTGCAGCGCGGTGATTAACCACCTTTCAGGTTCTCTTCTGAAGATATACCTGTAATTAGACGACAATTGGCAACATGTCTTTTGGAACACCATTGTCTTTGATTCATTTTCATCACTTGTGTATATTTTTTTTATTATATTCCATTCAATGGTGATTGTTTTTGCTTAGACATGACATTACTCCACTGCCTTTCTCAGTGCAACTTCGTTCTCTTTTATTCGCTCAATTTTGAGTTCTGTTTAGGATGGTCGTTGTCTGTATGGTGGCATTTGTAGACTTTGTCATCTGCATCTTTTCTCGTGGGACAAATTCTTGTTGCGTTCTTTTCTCCAAATTTCACATATAATAGCCTACGGTGTGCATAACAATTGAAGTCAGATGATATCCGAATTTCTTGTGCGATATAATAAATTGGTGTGCCCATGCATAACAACTCTTGATAAGTGCGTCAGTGTGCAGTTCGTTACGCGACCATCACTTGCTTTGTGATTGTCTGTAGTGCATTTAACAAATAACTTCGTGTTCATGTCTAGGACTTCTATGAATGACCTGCTCAAGTGCAGATGTTGCTTGCCAATATAATCAACCCCCTTCTTTGTATGCATTTCATCACATTGCAAAAAAAACCCAAATATTATCAAACATACATTGCATCACTTGAACAAAGTGCAATAGCGATGACATTCGGAAATGTATTATCCACCATGGGTTCAATTAAGACACCACGCTCATCAAATTTCTTAAGTATAACAAGTATGGATCTCGACACACTTCCGCATGTTGGCTAAGTGCCTCGGCGTGCTTGTTGCTATACTAAGCCTTCTACAGTATAACAAGTATGGATCTCAGCACACTTCCGCATGTTCCCCACGTGTCTGACCGTGCTTGTCGCTATACTAAGCCTTCTAAAGAACACTAATATCACCGAATCCATATAACCGACTCGCCGAGATGATAGACATACCTATGTTACTGAAAGACAACCGAAGCAAGCTTGTCCAACAACGAGACAATCAAGGCGCTTCATAAAAGTGTTATCCAACATCGATCCGGTGGTAATGCCTTGCTCATTAAATTTTTTAAGTATAAGAAGTATGAATCTCAACACACTTCTGCATGCGGGCCAATTGTCTGGGAGGATGGACAATCGCTATACTACGCATTGTAAAGAAAACGGAATCTCACCAAACATCCATATGAGTATTAGATGTTTCGGCCGAGAGGATGAACATGCCTACGTTTCTTCGGGATAGTGGAAGCGAGCTCGTCCAAGAAGGATACAATTAAGTCGCCTTGCTCATCACAATCCTAAAGAAGTACGGATCTCAGCACACTTGTCGAACTTCTCCGACAAGGACACAATCAAGGGGCCTTGGTCCTCACAATTTTAAACAAGTATGGATCTCAGCACGCTTCGGCATATGGGCAGAGTGGATGGGCATGCCTACATTGCTAAGGCTGTAGCCAAAACTAAATTTGTTCGAAAGAGGACACAATATAATGTCATATTTTAACGAATAACATGTTCACCATTTTTGTCATTCAAATAGTCATTTCGAGGAAATGGTTGCACATGAGGCGGGTCAAACGACCACGAAGGACCTGCATAGCTCTCATCGGGGTTTTGATTGAACCAATAAATCTGACCTTCCTCGGGCAACCATTCGTCGTCATCACAAAACTCTTTGTACAACATGCCCAGATTATGTCCAACCATCAAAAATTTAAGCAAGTGCGGTTTTGAAATACCGGTAATGTCTGATGCAACGCACGGGCCCACTATACTAATCCAATCTTCCATCGTATCGAGGAAAATATATTTGGGAGGCTTTTTGTCGGATTGCTCTATAAGCTCGAAGAACTCGTCCATAGTATAAGCGTCTACGTCTTTCAATTTCTTCGAGAAAACGCTGAAAGTAGCGTCAACGTCTGTATGGGTGTGTCCCACCAGCCTGAAACCTATTTCTACCTCTTCGAAAACTTCAAACTTAACCAAGAGTGCAACCAGCGCACATCTGTACTTGTTCTTGTTGTCCCGCCAACAATTATCTGCTTGAATGCGCAAAAACCGTGGCAGTGGCGTCCCGTTCCCTTGAATTTCGACAAGGGTTCTCATAACACAAGTAGCGACCGTGTTCGAAACGTGTTTGAAATATGGAATCCACGTGTATACATATATACTAGGGTCTCTACCGTGTGCAATGACGCCTGTCAGATTAGTCTTCATCATCATCTCGTGCCTAAGTGCTTTCGAGTAGTTCGCTTGACCAATATGGGGGATAGTTGTTTTCTTCTGATCCATGCCGTCAATGATGAGACACAAACGCTCGTTCGGACGAACCATGGAATCAGTTTTCGCTCGACAGTAGTCCAATCTGTGTTCAACTTGCCTCATTTGGTGTGCTTTCATATCCTTTCGATCTCGTTCTCAATCTCGAGGAAGAGCAGCATATTGTATACGTTCCTTCAGTTCATGACAGACGACGTACTTCGTGAACGTGTTAGATTGCACGAGGGAAACGTGGAAAAAGTGCTTCCGCCACAACTTATAAAAGTTGGACTCAGACACGACATCGAGGCCAGCGGCCAGAAAGTCGGATTTGATGGACTCATAAATTGATCTCTTCGTGAAAGCAGCCGGTAGTCGAAGCTTCGATCTACAAACCCCACCTTGGTTAGCCACCTCATTCGGCATGCTATCCGCATGACACTCGATGAACGTCCTCATGCTGGCAAGCATGGCGACCGTTTTATCGGTTGGCCGATATCTTCCCGTCAGGCCATGCTCGGAACACACGTAGCCATCGTCGAAACGTTTTTTGTAGCTGTAAAATGTATTACGCGAGACACCGAGTACATTGCAGTATGCCCTGACGCACATTGAACGTTCCAACTCCACAGGGCGGACACGTTTCTGTCGACCCTCATTTACTGTGAAATCCTTAATACTTTTCATCCACCACTCAGCTCGCTCTCCCAGACTCTTACTGTACAGTCCTTGTTTAACCTTTCACACTTCCTCAGGCGACATGTCGTAACATCATCGAGCCTTGCAACATGCCATGCTGCGCACCATGAGCAGTCTTTTTTCGGACAGCATGTTCCTCGCTCTTTTGTACCGTTCTTTCCTCCTAGCGTTCCTATTAG